AAATGGGGGTCATTTTCTGTGAGAGGATCCTCCTCTCACAGGGATTTTGTGAGGACTGAGTAGGAAAATATAAGTAAATAGCTTGGAATGGTGCCTGACAGTTAGTGCTTAACATGATGGCTATTCTTATAAACACCCTGCTTGATCTCCTTCCAAAGGACTGACTCACCATCACCTGAGTCTTCATAAGCTCTCTGTTACTAGAACGATCAGAAGTGGGGCCCATTTAAGAGGTATTCATGGTGTCGGTTCTCTATTATGCCATAACAAATTACTCCAAAACCTACAGGCTTAAAGAACCAAACATTTATTATCTCACAGTTTCTGTGGCTCAGAAATCCAGGAGTGGCTGAGCTCTGGCTCAAGCCTCTTACAAGGCTACAGTTGAGGTGACTCCTGGGGCTGCAGATAGCTCAAGGTTGGACGAAGGGAGAGGCCACTTCTGAGCTCACTCCTGTAGCTCCTGGAGGCCTCCATTCCCTGCTGGCATTTGGTCGGAGCCCTCTCCAGTTCCTTGCCGCATGGGCCTATCCGTGGTGTAGCCCACAACATGGCAGCCGCTGACGTCAGAGTAAGCAAGACAGAATAAGCAAAACAGACGTGGAGTCTTTTGTAATCTTATCTTGCAATTGACATACTATCACTTCTGCTGCTATTTTCTTTACAGAAAGCGAGCCACAATTTGTACACCTATGTTCACAGCAGCATGACTCACAAAACCCAAAAGGTGGAGGCAACTCAAGTGTCTATCAACAGATGAATGGATACACAAAATGTGGTACCAATGTGCAATGGAGTATTATTCAGCCTTAACTAAAAAGGAAGGAAATTCTGACATACGCTACAACATGGATGAACTCTGAAGACATTCCATAAGTGAACCAAGCCAGTCACAAAAAGACAAATACTGTATTATTCCATTTATATGAGGTATCTAGAATAGTCAAATTCATAGAGGCAAAGTAGAACAGCAGTTGCCAGGGGTTGGGGAGGGGGAATGGGGAGTTGTTGTTTACTGGGTATAAAGCATTTTAGTTTTGCAAAATGGAAATGTTCTGGAGATTGGTTGCACAATAAGGTGAATGTACTTAACACTGTTGAACCATATACTTAAAAAATGGTCAATGTGGTAAATTTTATGTTAAGTGTAGTTTGCCACAATTGAACAAAAAAAGTTAGTTCCAAGGTCCAGATCACATGCAAAGGGATGGGATTATACCAGGGCATGAACTCCAGGGGCTGGGGACCACTGAAGGCTGCCTGCCACATTGTCATGTATCCGAAGTTGGGAAGAATCTATCTGTTCAGTTAGGACTGAATCCAACATATTTAAGGCCACCTGAGTGCTGGCCACAGCCAATATGCGCACAGCAGCACCTGCTGACCCTCAGATGCACCCTCCCAGGGAAAGTTCCTAAGCAACAGAAAGCCATCTGCAAAGCTTGCTCCAAATCCACTGCTTGTGGAATTATCTGGTAACAGGTTATGCTTCCAATGAATGAAGCCGCAGTTACAATTCGATTCCAGCACAGTGTTCTTTGGTCTCCATTACATCCCATCTGGAATCGAAAGGTACGGTAATGACTGCACTTTCATGGTCCCATTCCCGCCTCTGAGTCTTGGCGGTTGCTTTGAAAGGTCAGCGTAGGGAAGGGAACTAAATGGGGACGAGCGAAAGAAGGAAGGAGAGGTGCACCCAAAGCTGGAGTCTCTCAGGGGAGACACGACTTTTTCATACCCTCAGCAAATTAGAAGTATTTCAAGCACCTTATTTCCTGTCTTGGGGTCAGTTTTCTCCATTCCATCAAAATAAACATTATAAAATATAATTTTCTTTTCCCACATCAACTGAAAGCAAAGATGCATTTTTCAAGGGTTGGAAGCCCAGCAGTAGCAGATGTGATGTGTTTTAACTAAACGAGCTTGTGTACAGAAGGTGTCCGGCACAGTATCTGGTGCAGGGTAGGGCTAGGTAAATATTCGCTATTATTAAGATGACAATAGGTCAAATCCTACATGGTATAAGACGATATGTTGTCTACTCAAGATGCCTCTGAAATTCCTCAGGAAGACACTACAGTCTCTCAAAAGCCCAGTATGGGTCAGGTTTTCCCCCAGCATGGGCACAACGGTGTTCCTTTTAACACCAAACTCAGCAGTCAGTTTGCTTTAGCAGCTACATGATAGAGAAAAGCATCCCTTTCAATACCAGAATCACACTCGGAGCAGAGGGACATTTACATCGTTAAGAGAGATGCAAAACTGCAGGCTGCCCAAGGGAACGGAGGTCCAGATTACCATCTCATGCGCAATGGGGGTGGCATACTCCCATCGAGGGAATGACAGAATCATCTGTTCTGTTTAAACAGTAACAATAATACTTCTTATGATTATTTTAATAGATTATGGATTCTTGAACTCACATAACTTTAGCACGTGTACAGTGTAATACTGCACAAGGTACAAATTAAACACAGCTTAATAACAACACCTTACAAAGAAATCTTTTCTAGTCTTCAGCACTCACTGAATCCACTATGCGTAGGGCACTACCTATGCTACTAGGTAGGATCTGTGTGATTCGAGAGGCCAAAAAGCTTCCTGTTCTTAGGTAGCTAATGGAGATGCCTTTCCACAACAGGCATCCTTGCTCAGAGGCTGTCACATTGACAGCAGTGGACAGCTGTTACCCATGCCTTGATGGGACTGGTTTTCTGACAGCACCTGCAAAAGGAGCTTATTTTCTAAAGGGAGGTCATTGGGTATGGAAGGCACAAAGCTGAGATTCTAAGGTAAGCTGCTCCAAGTAAGGCATTTGCCAAGAGTTGGGCTTTGTGCGTATGTGTCCACCACCAACTCTTCCTACCCCTCATGCTTATAATATGAGAGTACAATATAGAGAGAGAAACGAGCTGGATTTGAACCAGCCTTCAGAGGAACAGTTCTTCTTAAGGGCAAGCAAAAATCTGCTTCAGCAAAATGCTGGGGTAGGCATGGGCTGGGGGGAGCACTATAGGTGCTGCTAAAAGCATCAGGACGAATTCCCTAACTTCCAAGTTTTAGACTTGAAAGTCCTTTCATTGACCACCTCAGGGCACCATTAGTGAGTCTAGGATACCTACACACATAAGAAACAATATATATGGAAAAATTTTCTCAATCCCGCCTATCTAAGCTAATTTTTACTTGATTCTGTGCTTACTGTTCCTCTACCACTGCCAGTGGTCGATGGCCGATGGCCCAACGCCATATGCTTTGGTTTATAAAAATGTGACTTTGCATAAGCCTAGAAACACCTTGCCGTTCACCACTGAATCAGAAGTTTAGAAATCCCTAGGCAAATGGCAAGATTAGAAACCTCTCTCAAGTTAGTGGATAATAGATAGCAGTTCACAGATTTGCACGTGAATTCAATTCACCTGGAGGGCTTGTTAAAACACAGACTGCTCGGCCCACCTCCTGGGTGGATTCAGTGGACCTGGGTACATCCGGAGCTTTGCATTCCCAAAGGGTTCCCAAGTGAGGCTGATGCTGCCAGTCTGAGGATTAAACTTTGAGAACCACTGGTGAGGAGAAGACACGAGGAGGGAATTTTCTAGGTCAGGACAATCAGAGGCTAACTCTACCCAAGACTCACCTCCCAGAGCTCCTCTCTGTACAAATTTTGGCCAAGTCCATGTCGATACACATTTTGTCTTCTCTCGTCTATGGACCTCAGGCATACGGATTTGGATGGCTCATAATTCCTTAATTTGTGGCGCACTCTCACCAGTGGTCTATGCGTGACCCAGTCATTCATTCATTTTTAATAACATAATAAACACCAACCAAAATAAAAGCCAGGACCTTGAAAGGAACCTGCACCTAACTTCATCTTACCTCCCATCTTTCCTGCCTCCCAACATATGAATTAACCAGCTATCCATCTTTCTCTTGCTTTTCTTTTTTACAGTATTATTAAATTTGTAACCTGTGGTACAGTCATACAGTGAAATACTGAATAACGGTCAAAACAAATGAACTCTTCCAATAAACAGTAAAATGGATGGATCACAGCAACATAATACTAACTGAGAAAAGTAAAGATTACATATGGACGATACCTTTTTATAACATTAGAAATACATACTTTTTAGGATGCCTTAAAATTGACATGCATTTTTAAATCTTTGTATTTTTTTCTAATCACTGAAGAAATAAATACATGTTTACTGGAAAAGAGACAACGAGTAAAGAAACGTACCCAGTCAGTTTTAACAGAGGAGGATATGACCCCTCCATGTCCTTCTGGGTTTCCTAAAAAGCTCCTCTTTCCATCCCCAAATGCACCCTTCAGTTTCCATCCAACAGCTCTGAGGTTGAGAGCTCTGATAGGAATAGGCAATTCATACAAGAGGAAACAAAGCAGTAAACAAACACCCAGGGGAAAATGTTAACTTTGCTCATAATCAGAGAAATGCAAATTAAAGCATCTGGGGACCTATCATTCTATGACTACTAAATCAGCAAAGATGGGAAAAAGGGAACAACAGTGAATGCCTGGGATACTACTATAAACCTGACATGCGCAGATGATACTAGCAGCAGTGGCAAATTTTTAAAAATTTCCAAACAGCTGTATGACGAGGTGTAGTCATGAACTGTGCAGATGTCCCACTCTGCTAAATTTATCCTGAAGAAGTAACTCAATGGAAAGAAACAACCGAGGTGGCCTCCAACAGTGCAACAATTTAGAAAACCACAGTAGAGCACAGAGACGGTGTGCAGTGCAGCTGGACAAATTACAATTTTGAAGAGAAAATGCATATTTGATATTTCATGCGTGAGAAATACAAAATGGTAGGTGCATTACGGTTAGAACCATGTGTACGAGGGTTTCAAGGTAAAGAGCAGAAATTAACATGGCTGTTGTATCTGAACATGGGATGGGTGTTGTTTTCTTCAGTGTTACTGTGCTGTGGTGTCGTAAGTATTTGTTTTAGAGCTTGAGAGGCTCCTACCTTGAGAACTTTCACAGCTTTCCTCGTCGCTGTTGTCCTGACAGTTGTTTTGCCCATCGCAAATGAAGCTTTTGTCAATGCAGAGGCCGTTCTTGCAGTGGTAGCGGGCAGTGGAGCAAAGCAAAGGGTTTGCTGCTGTGAAGGGAAACCAGAGCAGATCACCAGGGAGGTTAGCCAGTCCCCTTAGGACGCCCCCCCAAGAACCTTCTCCAGCCAGGGGTATGCCCTGCTCGGCAAGTAATAAACTCATCTTCTAGGATGACTGACTCAAAGCCCATCCTGGGAGACTGGTCAGGCAATGACCTGGACACGATGAGACTTACTCTACTCCATTCTAAAAGCTTGTTCTCCCAAGTCATCATGCTGGTGTCCTATAACCATACCAACATGGCCAGAGGGCAACGCCTCGCCCTAACTGGTCAACCGCTAGGTGGGCCAGCAGCCTCTGAGGGGCCTGGGGCAAAACCCGAATCTCCCAGGAGAGTCAAGAGTGGAATGGTCGGTAACATAAGAGACACACAGAGAAGGGCAAAGCCAGACGGAGTAGATGGGTCGGGGATCCGTGAACCTCTGCCACTGACGGAGCGATGGCACGATCTAATCCAAGGCCTATGTCGGATCCTTCTGGTTCCCTAACTATGGACCAGCCTGGTAAGTCCTCATGTTTCCTTATGGCTCACCGAGGTGAGCGCCATCTCTGCTTTGCAATCAAAGAAGCCCATTCACCCACTGGCTCAGTCTGAGCAGCTCCCTGTTGCAGGCACTTTCAGGAACCCCCCCGGAAAATGACAGAAATGGCCCTTCCCCTCAAGGAAGAAGGTCGCAAGCAGCTATAGCATAAGGTCGGCACAAAACCATTAACAACACGTAAGCAAATCTCCATGGAAAATCGCTATTTCTACAGCACAATTTTTTTATCTTGCCTCCTCACTCCTTGCAGCGCAGTTCAAGCAAGGCTCCTTCCAGGGCTCTATTTTCAATAAATAAAGCAGCAAAGTAGAAATCACTCCAGCCCCCAGTCTGCCATTTATTAGCTGTGTGATCTTGGGTAACTCACTTCACTTCTCTGAGCCTCGGTTCCTTTATCTGTGTGCAGAACTGACTCCATAATTTGCAGGGCCTAGTGCAAACTGAAAATGGAACGTCAACTGTTCAAAAATTATTAAAAATTTCAAGAAGATAAGTGCTGGGCATTAAACCAAGTGTGGCGTGCTTCTAAGCTAAGCACGGAGCCTGTGCAGGTCACAGGTCCATGAAGCTAGCCCTGCTACTTACAGCATTAATTTAAGCATCAAAGGAGATGACACGTGAGAAAATGTACACAGCAGAGTCTGACACGTAGCACAGGCTCAGGAAACGTTGGACATGCTCCCTGAGTTATGTCTGCCTCAGCCCCCCAGAGTGTGGTACTCCCTGAAGGAGTGATATTGGTGATAACGAAGAGGGGTCATCATGGGATCTCGGGTCACCAACTGAGCCAGCATCTGCATCATACGTGGTATGAAGAGCACCAGAGAGAGATGGTACAGCCATCATTGAAGACGGCTACGGGATCAGGAACAAGCCAGTGCCGGCATCTCCGGACGGTCCTCACCAGCAGGAA